AAAGAAAAATTATATGTCATTTGTATGTTGTACGAAATCGCACGAATTTCTATTCAGTAATATTTTCTTTTGTTTGTCCAATTCTTACTGTGTATATATATATATATATGTGTGTGTGTGTGTGTGTGTGTGTGTGTGTGTTATATGACATTAATATAAAGATTTTTTTCAGGTGTCAAATTCCATTTTATTTGTTATCATTGAAGACACAAAAAATAATATTATTTTTAATAATGCGGAGCATGATTTTATACAATTTATCATGGAGGGATGCAATAGTATTCTCTCACAGTTTCTTTATTCAGGTAAATTATTTTTTCTTCAGATATATATATATATATATAATATGATCTTTTTTAAATTCATTATATTGATTTGAAATCTATTTTTTTTTCTTTTTAGTTCATCCACAAGTCACTGTCTTTCGCTATGATACTGTATAATTTGCAATAAATTTATACGGATATAATATCATGCGGTATTTGATCATTATGTGTTTTAGAATATTTTAAAGATGTTTATTTATTTATAAATTAATTTATTGTATTATAATAATAAATTAAAATAGAATTCGTTGAAATAAAATTAGATGAAAATAGTAATTATACAATGAGTTACTCTTATACGATTATTAAAAATACAGCTGATTGTCAAACTATTTCGTAAGTCAGTGCATATATGTGTGTGTGTATGTGTGTGTGTGTGTTTGAATGTTTGTTTATGTGAGTGCATACGTACATAAATTGTCGGTCTACTTGAATATTCAAATGAAAATAATTTGATTCCAAAAGACTATAAAAAGAACAAAAAAAAAAAAAAAAAAAAAAAACAAAAACGAAAAAAAGAAAATAAAATTATTGAATAGAAAAATTTTTATCCCCTTTTTAAAGAAAAATTGTTTCTTTCCATTCAATTTCTCCTTTCATTTGCCGACAATTTTCAGTCTCATGTCAAATCATTAACCTTTTTCTGTTCCTTCTTGTAAAATAAATATATTTAACTTTTATTTGTAGAATTATTAAAAAAAAAAAACGAACGAAAAATAACTAAATACTTTTTACATTTGATTAATTTTTAATTAATTAAAATTAAAACACCATCTTATATAAAATATTTTCCCTATATTACACATATTGATAACATAGATACTGTTCTGTTATATTGTTATATCTAATTTACGTATATTCCGTAGAAATAGATTCTTTTCTTTTTGTTCTTTTTTTTTTTTTTTAATTTAACATTTAAAAGAACGTCTGCCTACGAGTAAATTAATAATTTGCGTGAAGAGTGCAAATTTATCTTGAATATTTTTACCTGAGAACCAAAAAGAAAAAAGAAAAAAAAAAAAAAGAAAAAAAAGAAAAAAAAAGCTAAAAGAGAACGAAAAAAAAGAAAAAAGAATACGAAGTCATCGAAGCTTCCTATTGTGAGTGCTTCATCCTCTGTATGTTTGTTAGGTTTAAAAAAAAAAAAAGAAAAAAAAAAGAAAAAAAAAAGGAAACCAACGATTTAATTATTGGAACACTTATTAACATCAGATATAAATATTTTTAGATACACATCGTTCAGACGACGAATATAATATTGTCCATGTGAAAAATCTTTTGGACTTATTTTTATTTGCTGTGATACATGACAGTTCCTGTCATGTACGCAAGACAAAAGTAAAAACTGGACGAGATCGAGGATGGAGAGTGGGGGTAATGAATTTGCAACGCGCATGCGCTTCGAAAGAAGTGGGGATGAAATACATGAAAAACGTAAGGAATGATATTAGATAATAAAATAATCGTCGATATAGTATATAGTTTGTTTTTTAATCATAAACATTTATTATCCATAGAAATGTTTTATTTAGTTTATTTATGTAATAACAAGGGAACGAAAAAAGAAGAAAAAAAAATGTATCATTTTAAAATGTGCAACGATTTGACGAGCATATTTTGAACAAATCTTATCCTTAATAATTTCAAGACACAATCGTCGTATTTAATACAAACGACATATGAAGAAAATTACGAAATGTTTTTTTTTTTTTTTTTTTTTTTTTTGAGTGATCGAGAAAAGTTCGTAGATAATTTCAAAAAAAGAAAAAAAAAATCGATAACTCCTTTCGTACGACAATTTAATTTGACCTTTTTCTTTTTTATTTTTTTATTTTTTCATTTTTTTTCTTTTTTTTGCAGATTGTAAAACAACGATACAAGGACGTCAATGTACGATATCAAATATCTTTTGTATGAATTTTATCGATAATCGTTATCACAACGTGACTTTTGACCTAATTGACTATAGAAGAAAGTTTTCAATGATGAGTAAAGAGATAAATTTCATTTCGAAACGCACGCTTTTTATCATTCGTTTTCAATCGTGGGTCTGTATATATTTGTGCGTGTGTGAGTTTGTCTGTGTATATATATATATATATTTATGTGTACACATATATGTGTGTGTGTTTGTGTATATATATATATATATTTTTTTTTTAATGTGTGTATATATATACGTTTGTGTGGTTTTTGTGTGTTTGTGTAATCGTAAGAAAGATTTTCCGACTTTCTCATTCCCAGAGATCTTTTCACAAAGAATGGAAAATAATGATTTTCTTTTGATCATAATATTTTCTCAAGGATACGAATAAACCATAATGGCATAAGTTGATTTCACCTTGTTTTTATTAATTACTTTCACGACTGACGCATTGCAGAAAGTATTATTATTATTATTATTATTATTATTATTATTATTATTATTTAATCAAGAGATTGTTGATTAAAAAAAAATGACCAAAATGAAATTTTTTGAAGGATGAATAAAATTGCGATGTATATATACGAGATATGTGTATGTCTCTGTGTGTGTGTGTGTGTATGTGTGTGTACATATAAATTCTGATCGATGTAAATCTTTCGATAGATCATTTCCTCCATTTTTTTTTATTCTTGTTTACTTTCTTTTTTTTTTTACTTTAAATTAAAAAAAAAAAAAAAAAAAAGGGATTCTTTTAAATTAAATTAAAAAATTTTTGATTCAATGCTTTAAAATTTTATTCTAAATTTTTTATTTTAAATCGATTTTAAAATTTTTTTTCTTTTTAAAATAATGTTTCGAAGAGCTTCATATATATATATATATGTTATTTAGAAAAAAGATTTAGTAAGATCGAAGTTTAGAGATAAAGATCTATAGATCAATTTCGTTATTCGTATTTAATACGTTCATGTGAATATTGATATCGATCTTATTCGAGTATTATATTTTTTATATAATTTGATAATGACGTATTATAAAGATCAAGATTAAGATCTATATTAAAAGATAATGTTTGAAGGTGATCATAAACTGGATGATCAGTTGATAACATTTTCTATATCATATAAAATTAAAATTGTTTAATGTTAAATTAAAGAAAAGATTGAAAATAAATATTAATATCGGACGTCATTAAATCTATTATGATCTATAGATCATGAATTGGATCACCACACGAAACTGTAATGATGATGAAAAAAAAAAAACAATAAGAAAACAAGAATAAAAAATTGAATGATTCTAAAATTAATATTAATAACGATCTCATTTAAGATCATTTCTTAAAATATTATGATCGCCAGATCATAAACTGGATCATCGATTCATAACAGAGAGATTTATGATGATGATAAACAAAAGAGTAAAAAAATTGAATGATTTTAGAATAAATATAAAAATCAATTATTTTTTTTACGTAAACGATGATCTATAGATTATGAACTGGATCATGAGATGATAATACTGAAATATATAATGTTAATGAAGAAATCATATAAAAATTAATAATATTAACGTTAATCATATAAGATCATATTTAAAATAAATGAAGATCTATAGATTATGAACTAGATCATAATTTAATGATATTTATATACTATGATGATAAAGTAGGAAGAAAAGAAAAGAAAAAACCGATTAATTTAAAAATCTATTATATAAGATCATTTTTCAGTGTAATTATGATCTATAGATCATGGGAGTGGATTTGTTAGCTGATAATATTGATACGTATAATAATTATAAAAAAGGAGGATAAACAATTATTAATTCAAAAATTAATGATTCAAATATTATTTTTAAAATAAATGATCTATAGATATTTTTTTTTTTCAAATAAATGATATATATTAACAAATAATGATCTATAGATCTATTAGATCATTTATTTGAAAAAAAAACCTGTAGATCATGTTAATATATATTTTATGATGATAAAAAACAAAACAAAAAAAAAGACAAATAATTTAAAAATCGATCATATTAGATCATTTCTCTGACAAATTATGATCCATAGATTCTAAATTGGATCATCAATTGATAACAATGACATATATAATGGTCGTAAAAAAGAGGATAAAAATAACAATAATTGACAAAATTAATGATGCAAGATAACTTCTCAAAAAAATGATGATCTATATATAGATCATCAAATAGATCATTATTCGATAATAACAATATATAAACATATATTTTTATGAAAAATAATCTCGTATCATTAACTTTTTAATTATTCCTTTCATTTATCATCTCATTTACGATCATTATATACTTCAATATTATCACCCAATGATCCAATCTATGATCTATAGAACATAATTTGTAAGAAAGATGATCTTATATGATCGAATTTCTAAATTACTCCTTTTTTTCCTTCCTTTCTATTTTATCATCATAACATATAATATGTTATAAAATAATATTAAATATTTATGATCTATAGATCATCATTTATTTAAAACATATCTATATATATATATATATATATATATATATATATATATATATACGTATCTGTATATATAAAAAAAAAAAATAAATAAATAAATAAATAAATAAAATAAAAGAAAAGTTAGAAAACTCGTATAGATAATTACGATCTTAATGTTAGAACTGGATCGTAATGTATTATCGATTAATATAAGTTGAAGATTTAGTTTGATAAATGATCGAGAGTGCTGACTTACCAAGCATCTTGCTTAGATCGGCGTTGTGAAGATCAGGATTCTCGTCGGCCAATTTCTTGCGCTCGACCTTTGCCCAGACCATGAAGGCGTTCATCGGACGACGTATCCGTTGTTCCTTCAGGCTACGTTGCGCTGTACTGCCAGGATGGCACATCTTCACTCCTGTGGGAATCGGTGAGATTCCTTGTTGATAGTCTAAGGATGGTCCCGATGCTAACCAGGACATGTCTTCCAAACGTTGCTGTGCCGGTCCACTCAACATCCCCGGTATCTAAATTATGAATTAATTTATTTCTTGAAATTTCTACAAATTTTTTCTTTTGTTACTATTATTATTATTATTATTATTATTATTATTATTATTATTTTTATGATTATTATTATTATTATTTTTATGATTATTATTATTATTATTATTATTATTATTTTTATGATTATTATTATTATCATTATATTCGTTATTTGTCGTACTAAGAGATTTATTTTTTTTGGAAATTGATTTAAAAAAATGAAACATGAAAAAGACGAAGGAAAAATGTGTATTATTTATTGTTTTTATTTATCTTTTTCTCGCTTATCATATTCTCGATATTTAAATGACGAATTATTTATTATTTCATTTGTTGTTCCTATTATTATTATTATTATTATTATTATATTTGTAATTTGTCGTCTAAGAGATTTATTCGTTTTGAAAAATTTTTTTTTTTACTCTATTGAATAAATTTTTTTTTTTTTTACTCTATTGAATAAAAGAGATAATGTGTCTTGTCATTCAAATTCTATATACGCTCACACACACACACACACACACACACATATATTAAGATTTAATTGAATTATTTAAAAATAAAATTTATTGCTTTTATTTGTTCTTTTTATTTTTTCTTTTTTTGTTTTGAGAAATTGAAATTAAGAATTAAATTGATGATTTTTCAAATACGATGATTATATTATTACTATTATTGCATTATATTTGTTATTTGTTGTTTAGAAAATTTATTCATTTTGAAAATTAATACAAAAGAGTAGAAACAAAAAAATCAGATCTGCGAACTGCGTCATTTATTGTTTTTATTTATCTTTTTCTCACTTATCATTCTTGGTATTTAAATGGCGAATTAATTATTATTTTTATTGTTGTTATTATTATTATTATTATTATTATTACTATTATTTTTATTATTATTATTTTTATTTTTTTTTATTATTATTTTTTTTTTTATTTCTATTATCATATGTATTTTATTTGTCATTTAAGAAATTTATTTATTTTGAAAATTGATTGAAAAGGATAAAAAAAAAAGAAAAGAAAAAGAAGAATAGAATATGTGTCTGTCATCCAAATTCTATATATGGAGAATTAATATTATTTAAATTAATATATATATATATATATTATTATTATATATATATATTATTATTATTATTATTATTATTATTATTATTGATAATAGTAATGTTATTATAATCTTAATAATAATATTATTGTTATTAATTTTATTTTTATTATTATATTAATTATCAGTCGTTTAAGAAATTTTATTCATTTCGAAAATTGATTCAAAAGAGCAAAAGACATATTTATTATTCAAATTATTATTGACATAATTATATATCCCGAATTTAACATGAAAAAAAAGAAATTAGAAATGAGACAAAATTATAAAAGAGAAAAAAAATAGTTCATACTAGTTAGTATAAATTATTCTATTTTTAATTATATTATATATAATAACAATAAATAGAAATCTGATATATATATATATATATATATATATATATATATATATATACAAAATTTATATTTTCAATTTAACATAAAAAAATAGAGGATAAAGAATATGAAAAGAAAAACAATAATCTTCATTTGTTATTATAAATAATTAACCTCTAATATATGCTATATATCATAAAAATAAATAAAATTTCATATATATATATATATATATATATATATATATATATATATATATAAATGAAATGAAATAAAATACATATATAAATCATATTCCTAATTTTGAATATAAAAAAAAAAGTCTTAAATCTCTTTACACAATATCAATTTAACAATTCAAATCTATCAAATATAACCTTAAAGTCGAACATTCAATTTTACCTTTGACACGTAATAACAAGTCCCCATCTCTACCAATATAACGATTATATTTCTCAAACAATAACAATAATAATAAATAGTCAAATCTAATAACAATAATAATCGATATAAATCGCTTTCTAGAAATAAACCATAAGCGTAGGTGTTAGATGGATACATATAGGGTGGACCAAAAGTCATTAGACGTATTCAAAGATTTTTTTAAAAATAGATATATAAAAATTCGATTATTCGCAATTAAGATGAGTTAGATTAATTTAATTCGAACGAATTACGAAAACTATCTTTTTAGATTTGTGATATTAGAGAAATTCTAATCGTTAATTTAATAACATTTAGATAAACGTTTGAATTTAATATTTAATATAACCTCGTAAGATTTGGCCCATCTAATGATTTTCGACCTGATTCTATGAAGAATCGTCGTTCGTGGAAGAAAGAAGAAGAAAGAAAAAAAAAAAGAGAGAAGAGGAAAAAGAAACAAAATAAAATGAAAGAAAAGAAAAGAAAAGAAAGGGAAAAGAAAAGACAAGAAAAAAAGAAAAAGAAACAAAAGAATGAAGAAATATGGCGTTGAATCAAGATGGCGTCGTCGTACAACTATAAATACGCAAAACGCGTATATATAAAGTGACGTTAACAGTAATACGTAAGAAAGGTATATAAGTAAACGTACCGAAATGATTTGGGTATCGATAGGCATGGCCGTGGAGTCGTTGGTATCGATATTAGTATCGATGTCGTAGGTTCTAGACGTGGGTGTAGCATAAAGAGAGGAATGAAGTGCCAAGAGTCCAGGTGAGCCGCCATAACTGCTAACCGGCGGTGGTGTCACCTCGCCCCTGTCATAATTATCCAGCATC